TGCAGTTCATGGCAACGCATCAAAGCAATGGCTGAAAATGTACAAAAGGATCCAGTTTGCCATTTTGGAAAATGGTCATTCACTGCATCCTGTCTTATGAATGTAATGTGTTTTACCAGCAATGAATGAGCTGCAAAAGGATTACTCTGTGCAGTGCAAATTAGGTTTACATGAGACTGCGCTGCCATACAGAATTCAGCAGTGTATTTATAGTGCTTGTTACTAAATTTTCATTGGCTTAGAGGTAAATCGCTAATATAATGAAATAAGTTCTTACAAATATTCATACCAAATTCATAAATAATTTAAAATTATAATTTGACAGATTGTTAAACAGGATTGAAGGAAGGATTTTAGATAGGTTGTCAGAACCCAGCTGTTTAAGTTTCAGACATGCTTTTCCTGTTTGATATGCAGATAGCAAAGGATTGTTTTCTTTTTGATCATTTCATCTTGCTGAGGTACAGCAAAATGTGTGACTCGACCTTCATTAAACCTGTGAGTTTTACTAAAATGTGACATTTGATTTATTATACAGAATTAGTCTTATTGAACAACTTGAGAGTAAACGTGCTGTACCGACTCCCACTCGCCCATCTCCCTGTCCTGTACATCAATGCACTATTGCCAGAGGGTGAGCAACCTAATCCCTGGTCTGCCAATACAGATCTGTGTTGGTGGCTTGGATCTGCACATAGATTTCCTCAGGACAGCTTTTCCTCTGAATTATACCTCATTCCATGCTGATAAATGTCTAAATTCTGATCTTCATTTCACAACAGCAACATTGATAAAATCAGGAACTCAGTGATGCTGAATTAAGCTTGAGCTTCAATTATTGAGGAATGAAACAATGATGCCCCATTGCACCACTTTATGGCAAATGAATGAAAAATACTAAAATAGTGCATAGTTAATTTTGCATTGATTACAAGAAAGAAAGGTTGATTCTAAACTGCTTATGTTTTGTGATTTTCCATGCTGTCTGAAAGGGTCCTTCCTTCAATAAGTTTGGTATCCACCAAGTAATCATTCTGTATGCTTCACCATAAAGCTAAACTATTTACTACATAGAGGATGTGATTTTTTTTTTCTCTGCAGCACATTTTTGAGTGGGCTCCTTTAATTCTTTAAGCTACTTTTTCTTGAAAAATTAGTGTGCTGTCTTAAATGAAGAGAGAACACAGTACACTTGAGATTTTTTTGGCATTTGCTTACTCCTGTGTACTTCACTGCTTTTGCTGTTACAATAACACCATAATGAACTGACTTTTCAGAAACGTGTCACAGCTATGTGAAAAAGCACAACACTTGAAACCCAATTGTGATTTTTTTAAATTTATCATTTTACGAACTGTATCGAGCACCATGCAACCAAGAGTATCTATTTATCACAGAATACATTGTGATTGAGATATAAAGGGTGAAATTTTCCTAGTCCCTGAATGACTTGTGCTATGGTGGGAAAGCTGGTTAAATTGGAAGATATGTCCAGCAAAGACCTTCTTAATGTCCAGAGGAAGAAGTCCCATTTTGTAACCAAGTTTTGAATGGCAAGTAAAAATTCTCACAACTGAATGGCACAAGGCTTAATTGTATGGACAATCCCACAATAACAGCCTCATTATTTGTTAATCTCTCCTCATTTTAATGCAGTTTCCCATTTTCCCCACTCGTCCATAAAAGCTGTTTCCTGGCAACTTCAGCTCATTGCTTGATCCTCCAGAATGCCATCTTGGACACCCGACACCAACATCTCAGGGCACAGCGACTGCATGCACCCTATGACCATGGACCTTGGCATTTACCACATACCAGTGTCACTGCATGGCACATCTCCAATCCACATACAGTACGCTTCTGCACTTTGTTACTTTAGAGTGTGCTGCACTTGTCTTTACAATGCTTCTGCTCTTTGGGACATTTTGTACATGTGGTTGGGCAACCATTTCATGAATTGGACCATGATGTATGCAGGGATCCTTGCCTGCTGTCATAGCGCTCCCTGAAATTGACCCGTTGAAAGATCATAGCATTTTTGCTTTGCCTTGCCTTGCCTTTTTTTTATTCATTCACGAGATGTGGGCATTGCTGGCTAAGCCAGCATTTATTACCCATCACTAATTGCCCAGAGGGTAGTTAATAGTCAACCACGTTGTGGGTTTGGTTCCATGAGGGCCAGACCAGGTAAGCTTGGCAGATTTCGTTCCCTAAAGGACAACGGTGAACCAACTGGATCGTTATAACAATCAGCTATGGTGGTGTGGTCACCAATGAGCTAGCTTTTGATTCCAGATTTTTATTGAATTTAAATTTCACCATCTGCCATGGTGGGATTTGGACCCATGTCTGCAGAATGGTAACACTTCTCTAAACAGATGCTACAAGACCTACTGTATTTTCTCGGAAATTTCTGTTTTTGTTTCCCATTTCCAGCATCTGCATTTCTTTTTGTTGTTTGTTTAGTAAACAACTTTATCTCTTTATTTCAGGCATTAAGGAATGCAGTCTTCAACAACAAAGAGGTGACCATGCTCCTTTGGAACCTTCTTACCCTTCCCTTCCCTTCCCTCTGCCTCCATCTCTTCTCCAAACCCCACCTCTTATTGGGCATTTCTCTCTCTTTGGGCTCCATTTCTGCCTATTTTTACACTCCTTTTCTCTCCCACCCCCCTGTCTTTCAGCAAAAATGCTACCTTTTCCTAGTCACTATCAGTTGTGAAGAAAAGTCACTGAACTCGAAGTATTGACTGTGCTTTCTCTCCAAAGATGCTGCCAGACCTGCTAAGTTTCTCCAGCAATTTCTGTTTTTGTTTCAAGTTTCCAGCATCCGCAGTTCTTTGTTTTATGCTTCAAAATGCTTGTTCAACATCCCTGTTATAGCCTTGTCTCCCATTATTAATCCCACAATCTCACCGACTAAGGGACCAATGCTCATTCCTGCTTATGCTGCAACTCCCTTTCTCAGCATTATGAATGCATTGACTGCCAGTAGACTGTAGTGGTTCAAGAAGGTGGCTCAACATAACCTGTTCAAATGCAATTTGGGATGGTCATACATTGACCTCTCATGAACAAAAAAGTTAACGTTATGTCAAAATATTATCTTGTTTTTTTGTGCTAGTTCATGAAGGTCTTGTATTAAATTGGCAGTTTAACCATTGAAGGATCAACCGCTTCTCAAAACTTCAAAGTAAATAAGTGAAAACATTATACAAAAACTGTAGATAATGAAAAATTATTAACAACTTTAAGATATGCTTGACATACTTTCTACTTAAGACCACACCTTGAATATTTTGCACGGTTGTACTTTCCATATTTCAGGAAGGGTATATTTGCTTTAAAAGTTCCCCCAATTGGATCCTGAAATGAGAAGGTTGCCTTTAGACGAGATATTGAGTGAATAATATTCTCTTGGAAAAAGAGAGAAAAAAGACACTTCAAAATTCAGATGTAGTGCTTTTGAATTATGCTCAACAAATCAGTAAGTTTTGTGTATCAGGAAGGAGAGATCACATTCAGAGTCGACACAGCCTGAATGACACTATAGTTCAGGGAGTTTGGAGAGGCTGCATAGGGATTCAGTGCAGAGGAGAAGAGGTGCTTTTTACTTACTTTCTTTGGTTCACAGTTTATACGTTTTTTTTTAAAGAAAGATCAATTGAAGCCTTGGATCAGGGACCTAATATAAAAGAGTGACATCACAGTAAAACCGCAAGTTCACTGGTTGGTGATAACTACTAATTTGACTATCTATTATAGGTTACTTTCCAGACTACAAGTTAAAAAAGCAGCACATTTTATTTTTAAGTTAGTTTAGAAATTAAGTAAGTAAAATAGAGATGCAGGGCCAGGTAACATAACTTTAGGATGTGGAAACTGGTGGACCCCATTGTGGTTGAGGTGTTGGCTGCTTAAAGAAGTTGATGAACTGGAGTCTGAGCTTTGAACACAGCGTCACATCAGGCAGGGGGAGAGTTACCTGGACGCCGTGTTTCAGGAGGCAGTCACACCCCTTCGATTAATTGCCTCATGCAGTCAGTGGCAAGTGACAGGCAAGTGACTAAGGCAGGTAGAGGGATCCAGGAGTTAGTTGAAAGAGTCTCAGTCCTTGAGCTTGTCTAACAGGTTTGAAATTCTTGCTCCTCATGCGGACCAAAGTGGGGGCTGTCGGGAGGATGAGAAAACTGACCACAACACCGTGGTTCAGGGAGCCTTTCGAGAGGGAGGCAGAAAAGAGAAATGTAGTTGTAATTGGGGATAGTATAGTCAAGGGAATAGACACTGTATCCTGTGGACAGGAGCAGGAGTCCCGAAGGGCATGTTGCCTGGGTTGAAGATATCTTGTCTGGGCTGCAGGGTAACCTGGCGTGGGAGGTGAAAGATGGAGTTGGTCCACATAGCTACCAATGATGTAGGTGGAGAAAGGTTTTGAGGACCTAGGGGCTAAACTTAAAAGAATAAACTAAAGGTAATAATTTTGGAATTGCTGCTTGAGCCACTATCAAGTTGGTCCAGGATCAACCAGATTAAAGTGGTAAAAGTGTGGCTCAGATTGGTATAGGAGAAATCGGTTCAAATTCATGCGACTTTGGCACCAGTACCGGCTCAACCTGAATCACACTGGGACCAGAGTCCTGGTGAATCACTGGGCTTGTGGATAAGGTTTGAAATTCAGTAGTTGGAAAAAGTTTAATGGGAGAAAGGCTCAGCAAAAGTTATTAAAAGTTTCCAGAACAAGTAATAGGACAGGAGTGTAAAAATCTGACTTCAGACACAGCAGATGACGGGACAACTATGAGAAGGGGATGGTCAATGTAGGACTGAGGGTGTTGTACTTAAATGCTCACAGTATATGAAACAAGGTAATTGAGCTTGTAGCGCAGATTGAAATCGGTGAGTATGATGATCTGGGTATTACAGAGACGTGGCTGCAAGAGAATCAGAGCTGGGAACAAAATATACAAGGATTCACGTCCTATTAATAGGACCAGCAGATGGGGAGAGAAGACAGAGTTACCTTGTTAGTCACAAATGAAATTAAACTGATAGCAAGAAGTGATGTAAAGTCAGAAGGCATAGAATCTGTGGGTAGAGATGAGAAACCACAAAGGATAAAAGTCCCTGATGGCAGTTCTGTACAAACTTCCTCTCAGAAGTCAGGATGTGGAGAAGAATGTAACTTAGGAGATGAAAAGGTATGCAATAATTATGAGGCACTTCAATTTTGCAGGTGGACTGGGAAAATCAGGTTGGTAGCAGATCTCAAGAAAAGGGATTCATGGAATGTCTGAGATTTTTTTGGCACAGCATGTGGTTGAACTCACTTGGGAGCAACCTGTTCTAGATTTGATGATGTATAATGACTTTATTCAGGAGCTTAAGGTAAGGCACCCACAAGGGGGTCAGTGTGACAATAATTATGATAGAATTCACCCTGCAGTTTGAGAGGGTGAAGCTGGAATCAGGTGTAATGGTATTACAGATGTGTAACAGTAACTACAAGGATGTGAGGGAGGAGCTGGCCAGAGTTGATTGGAAGGAGAGCCTAGCAACGAAGACAGTGGAGCAGCAATGGTAGGAATTTGCGGGAGTAATTAGGAAGTGACAGTAGAAATTCATCTCAAGGAAGAAGAAATATACTAAGGGGAGGGGAAGTCATCCATGGCTGACAAGGGAAGTCAAGGTCAGCATAAAGGCAAAAGTAAAAGCATAGATTGTGGTGAAGTTCAGTGGGAAGCCAGAGGATTGGGAAGCCTTTACAAATCAGCAGAGGGTAACAAAACACAATTAGTGGGGAGAAGATGAAATATGACAGTAAGCTAGCTAGTACTATAAAAGATGATTGCAAGAGGTTTTCTTTTAATATCTAAACGTGAAGAGACAGTTAAGAGTGGACATTGGACTGCTGGAAAATGAGGCTGGAGAAGTAGTAATGGCAGACGAATTGAATAAGCACTTTGCATCAGTTTTCACTGTGGAAGACACCAGCAGCATACCAGAACTTCAAGAGACTCGGGATAAAGGTGAATATAATGGTCATCACTAAGGAGAAGGTGCTGTGGAAGCTGAAAGAGCTGAAGGTGGATAAATCACCTGGACCAGATGGACTATACCCCAGAGATCTGAAGGAGATAGCTGAGGAGTTGGTAGAGCGATTGGTGATCTTTCAGGAATCACTGGAGTCAGGGAGCATCCAGAGGACTGGGAGACAGTAAATGTAACAGCCCTGTTTAAGAAGGAAGAGAGGCAGAGACAGGAAGCCATAGACCAGTTAGCCTAACCTCCATCATTCTTAAGATTCATTCCATCATTAAGATTCTAAAGATGAGATTGCAGAGCATTTCGGAGTGCATGGTAAAATAGTGCTGAGTCAAAACGGCTTTGTCGCGAGAAGATCATGCCATTCTTTGAGGAGGTAACGAGCAAGTTAAACAAAGGAGAGCCAGGGACGTAATCTGTTTGAATTTCCAGAAGGCCTTTGACAAGGTGACACACAGGAGGCTACCTAGTAAAATAAGAGCCCATGGTGTTAGGGGCCAGGTATATGCTTAGATAGAAGATTGACTGACTGGCAAAAGGCAGAGAATAAGGATAAAGGGTCTTTTTCAGGATGGCAGCCAATGATTAATGCATTGTGCAGGGGTCCATATTGGGACCACAACTATTCATGTTATTACATTAACAATTTGAATGAAAGAGCTAAGGGCATTGGTGCTAAGTTTGCAGATGACAGAGATAAGTGGAGGGGCAAACAGTGTTAAGGGAGCAGGGAAACTGCAGAAGGACTTGTACAGGCTAGGAGAATGGGTGAAGAAGTGACAGATAATTAAACTGTGGGAAAGTGTGAGGTTATGCACTTTGGGGGTTGGAGGTGTAGACTATTTTCTAAATGGGGAAAGGCTTCAGAAATCCGAAGTACAAAGGGATTTAGAAGTCCTCGTTCAGGATGCTTTTCAGGTTAACACACAGGTTCATTTGGCAGTTAGAAAAGCAAATAAAATTTTGGCATTCATTTCAAGAAAGCTAGAATACAAAAGCAGAAATGTACTGCTGAGGGCTGTTTTGGCTTTGGTCAGATCGCACTTGGAATGTTGTGAGCAATTTTGGGCTGTATAACTAAAGAAGGATGTGCTGGTATTGGACAGAGTCCAGAAGAGGTTTACAAGAATGATCCTGGGGATGAAGGGCTTGTCATATGAGGAACATTTGAGGACTCTGGGTCTGTGCCCAATGGACTTTTGAAAGATGAGAGGGGATCTGATTGAAACTTACAGAATACTGAAAGGCCCTGTTAGAATGGATGTGGAAAAGATGTTTCTACTGGTCGGAGACACTAGGAGCCAAAGGCACAGCCTCTGTGTGTCTGAGTCAGGAATATTGAGAACATGGGACCATGGTCTCAGGATAAGGAACTAGTCATTTAGTCCTGAGGATGAGGGTTTTTTTTCATTCAAAGGTGTGAATATCATTTTAAATTCTCTTCCTCAGACGGTTGTGGATGGTCCATCATTAAATGCATGTAAGGTTGAGATAAACTGATTGTTGGTCTCTCAGAGTCCAGTCATCTGTGAAGCTATGGGGAAATAGTGCTCAGCCTTTAGGTCAGCCATAATCAGATTGAATGGCAGAGCAAGTTTAACGTGGCATATGATGCATTCTCATGTTTCTTGTGTTCTTATTAAGTTTTGTCTAAATTGCAGTCAGCTTTTGTGAAGTGAAATATTGCTGCTGCTTATAAACAAATATTTTTCTCCACGTGCTTTTTTTAAAAAATGATTTTCAACTCACAAAGCAAATGAACTGAACTTTTATTGTAGATCAGACTTATTTTGATTTGGCAGTCTGACATAATAATCCTTAAGACACTTTGGACTTCTTACAAATAAATATTTAAGATTCTTTTGTCTCATTAACTTCTTCCAGTTCTTGTGCCCATTGTCACCTGGTTTGGTTATTGTTTACATTACTTAAGATTGCATTTTTTACGTACAGCAATTTTGGTAGATTAAACGATCATTGATTGCTGTAAGGTCTCAAAGTATCATGCAATCAAACTGAGTACATCTGATACTGTTCATATCTTGCAAGGAAGAACCCTGAGGACACTACTAGATGTGCGCTCAGTCCCTGTATCTTGTACTTGGATTTCTCAGATTTCAGTTGATCACAAATGCAAGTCTGCCACATGGAGCAATCTGAAATATTTATTAAACTAATAATGTAATTGCAACACATGGCAACTTTCTTGTCTTCTAACTGTATCTCTTACAGATATCCATATTGTGTATGTTGCTGTTTTGAGACTAGATAGGAACTTCACAAATGCTTATGAAGTGTGCAAGTCACGCCGTTATAACTAATGGAGAATAACTACTGTGGAGAAGTGCTGCTGCTGTTCTAAATCCAATGAAGTTCTGTTTTGATATAAAAGTATTCATGTAATTTTCATCACTACATAAACTGAGTAGTGTACATTTGTACATTATGGTGCCCACAATGAAAGAGTTTCACTAAATTCACAAGGCAGATAGAAGGGATATAAAATCCAGTGGTAACTCAAGGAAATTATTGAAGTGTGGAACATCACTTCCTTTAGGATTGTGGAATGATTTCTATCCATTAAAGTGATGTTGACAGCAGGAGTGCCATATAGTTCTTGGCACTATAAATGAACCATATTTAACATTAAAATCTAAATAATACTTAATTGCCTGGAGCATAATACTGATCTTTGTTTTCCCTAGCTGGAGATCATACAGAAAGGTAAATTGACTGCGCCTGCTCTGCGTTTCTCTAATAAAGTATGTCTCAATTTTGTAACTTGCAATAATTGCTGTTTTACTATTATAGACAAAGAAAGAAAATAAACTGCAGCTTTCTGAAATAAAATGCTTATGCAATTTTTTGAATTATGTATGATATTTTGCCTCATGCAGCAATGAGGTGTCGTGAGTTACTGGCCATACCAACTGTAACACAAGGCCTAGATCTAATTTATACATTTTGTGAGTTCAAAATGACATGTCGCGTTAATCTGTAGGGCAATTATGATAATTTTCAGGGGAGATAATAAGTCGCAGTTGGGCATAATTCCAAAGCAATAGGTCTGAGTTTTGAAGCACCTTTTTATCTATATACAGACTTGAGGCTTGTATAGTTTGTAACATTTTGCAGATTCTCACTCTTCACCCCCTACCAGAGCGACCCTAATTATTTACTTATCATTGTATCATACAGATAGTTTTTTTGCTGTTATTGACACTATTTTTCCATATCCCTTGATCACTCCTCTTGATCACCTTGAGGCATTGCCCTTTAAATTAAATCTGTTGCATCAAAATTGTGTCTTATCATGCTTAGAAAAAGAACCTTCGGGATAGCTTATCACGATCAAATCATTCGTCTGGATATATTAGAGGCAGTGCTTGCATCTTGTGTTGTAGACTGCATAACATGTATCACTGAATGAAAAAAGACAACCTACCACACTGCGCATGGTTGTCACTCATGTCCTCTGCTGCTGATAGGATCTTGAGCAATTTACAGAGCAAATTCTTGTTAAGCATCTGTTTATTCCTTGCAGCAGTCTCTTCTGTGCAGATACATCTGCAACAACTGAATTAGCAAATGGCAAACAATAATATATATTATGTATCTGGGATTATAACGTTGTGGAAACTCATCTGCTTCTCCCCCGTGTACCAAATTTCTGAAGATCTGAAGAAGGGTCACTGGAGCTGAAACATTAGTTCTGATTTCTCTCTGCAGATGCTACTAGACCTGCTGAAATTTTCCAGCAATTTCTGTTTTTGTACCAGATTTCTGAATTGATGAGTTCAATGTATTATTTGCTGCTGCGGTGATGATTATTGAAACCCAATTAGCCAATGTTGAGAAGGTCAAGATAATAATTCCAAATAGAAGCATCATTGACAGCTGACATTTATAGTCCCATGATGGCTTTCTGTCTATCATATGATAAAGATTATTGATCAAACCAATATCCATATATTGAATGATGCAACTAAAGTCTTGCTGAGATTGGCAAGAGTCATGTTATAAATTTATAAGTTTAGCATAAACACCAGTTTCCACCTTTCTCCCCTGGAACCTTTCCTTGTGCAGAAGTGATTTCCCCCACTAGGAAAGAATCCAGCTTTTTAAATAAACCTAACCACAAAAAATCACCCAATGGCGAACACTGCCTGGACATTGTAGCGAGTGCTAAATATCAAAAAGTAAAATAACCCAACTCATTTTAATTAGCCTGTTCAGACATGTCTAGAGGTAGTGCAACTTAAACTTGGACTTTCTGGCCCAGAGCTAGGGGCATTACCATTGCACCACAAAAGTGTGTAATAACCTAATTATTTAGTTTTGAA